ATCTTAAGGAACTTTACAGTTCACCAGATTATACAGTCAAATTGATTAAAAGTTTTCTATCTAAGGAAAACCAGTTAATTGCATCGACTCATTTGCTCAAATGCAATCCCTCACACTAAGCATGCTTTTCATTAGACTTTTATGAACCGAAAGACAAAAAAGGTACTTTCTGCGGATCTTTTATTCTGAAAATCCCTACATTATAAATGCAGTAAATGTCAGTTTTTTTTATTTTATTTGGGTAGCTTAGATGAGTCAGTAAAAAGCTCTGGAAAAGGGAGGCTGGATTATGACACATTTCTAACATTACCATTTTGTTTGCTTTGGGACCACACCTTGTTTTAGAAAAGGTAAACCTAAAGCAATTACAAATGGAATAAAAGCTGTAGTATCTAAATTAAGAATTGTACTAGAAAATAAAAATCATAATCATAAATCATTTTGAGTCATAAACAAGATTTTGTTTCCCCAAAAAACAAAATATTTACCATTTGTATGCAAATCTTAATACAAAAAAAAAAAAAAAAGAATCACATAGGTTAGCATTAAGTTGGGTGTTTCCTTTAAGAGGTCTGAACCAAACACCCAGTTCCTGCAGTAAATAAATTTAGATAAACTGATAACCTTTTCAAACTCCATCAGCTTCCAGGAGAAACAAACAGCTGCTTCCTAAAAATTTTATTTTAGACAAACTTTCTGCATAAGTTGTGATTAATTTCAGGTGCTACCCTGCATCTTGTAGAGCAGGACTTTCCATGGAAGTCTGAGAACACAGCAGACCGAGCTGATGTCTGGAAACAAAGATATACATTAGAGTTGATGTAAAAACACAGCTGGGCTCTGCGCCCTCCTACATCGACTTCCTAGAGACAGAAAACCAGCAGCGACTGAGAATAGCATCCTATACAGACAGCCTGTCATTATGAAGCTGGCACGCTCGCCTGCAGTCGCTGAACATCTCCTGCAGAAACAGAGTGTCTCAAACAAGCCGCTAAATCATCACCTATAAAACCAAGAAGAAGAGAGCAGCTATCTTCTACCCTGTCTGCATTTCTAATGCGGTTTGTCTGAAAGATACTTTAAAAGTTTGCATTCTGAGGCGATGTTATGGTTTAGAGCTGAGGCCCGAGAGGTGTTAAATTATATCTCAGCTCTGACTTCTGTGTGCTTTAGCTCTACAGCTACGCTTTCACCAAATTCAAAAGGAAACTGAATTAATGATAACAGAAAGAATGTTATGGTTCCTGAAGTAAAAGGATAAATTAATAGGTTTGAAAGTAAAGTTAATGTAAGACAACGTTTCCAAAATACAAATACCTTCCAGAAAAACGGAGATATGTCAGTGTTCAGACATGCCAGCAGTTACTCATTCATGGTTCTATTTTTATAAAGTGTGCAGACTGCCTGACACTAATTAGCACATTAAAACAGGCTGTTTGCCATGAACTCCCATCCACCCTGTTTTCTCCAAACCCAACATAATAACTGGCATTACAATGAACACATATGAATGTAGCATTTAGCTGGTGTGGAAGTGTGTCAGCCTGATGTAATCTGAGGGAAAAAATTTTCTTGTAGTGGAACCTGGAAGACCAAGTTCAGGGAATATGCCTTAAACTTCAATTAAACAAAAAACAACTTTATTAATCCCAAAGGTAAATGAAATAAAATAAGATCTGATTTGAATACTTTTTCACAAATTGCTCTTTTGGAGACTTAAAAAAGACAAGTATAGACTTTTATGGTCATGTTAAATAAAATTATCAGGTGTATGTTGGTTATTTTATTCTCCATGTGCACAGTTTTATATTGTTAAAATACTTTATAGTACAGTATTTTATTTTTATTTTTTAACTATTCACTAGTATTTTTTTCCATACATTTTTCTAAGGTCCACATTTGTGTGACATTTTATTTTCTATAATCTTTTTGCTGCTGTAAACATCACAATTTCCCCATTGTGTGACAAAAAAGGGATTTTCTATTCTGATCTATTCTATTGTATTCTATTCTAGATGTTGGTTTATGCATGTCTAACACTCAGCTGCCCACTGTCACCACATGCTTGCTCTATATGATACATTTTCTGCAAAGTCTATGACTTAATAAAACCCTCTGAGCTGCCTTGAAGAGTTAATGTTTTTACGGTTTGGCATTAAATATTTAATAGACTAAACTGCACTTTACTTTAACTGTAAATCGTTAAAACATCTATAGAAAAAGTTATATCCACTGTAAATATTTCAGTGCAAAGTTTATAACTATAATCAAATTATAAATAAAACACTTAGTTTATTTGGGAATTTATGGATGCTTTCTAATTACTGGATCACCACTAATTTGTAGGCGTTTAAAAGAGTGTGCCAGACTGCCAGCAGGTCAGAAATCGTGACTCAGGACTGGAAATTTGGGGCAAGAGTTAAAGCAAACTGGAACAAGTCAGCCAACAAGTTATGGTGAAGAGAACTGAAGGAAGGACAGATGTGAGTCATTAAAGGATCAGGATACCCTGGGAAAATGATGACGGGGCGATGGAAAATGAAAGGGACAAGGTTAAAGATGTCAGTTTCAGTCACATGTGACCAGGAGAAGACTGGAATGCTGCACACTTCCACAGAGTCGCAGGAATGAGCTGTCAAAGCCCTGCTCGGCCTCCACGTATAGTGGCTCCATTCATCAGCTGCAGCACAGAGAAGAAGAGGGAGAGGAGGGTCGTCTTATGTTATGTTTAGCCAGACTGAGACAGGCTGCCCTTTGAGGAGCCCTCTGCTTTGAAATGAGGCTGAGGAACATCCATGTCAAGCAAATATTGCCCTGAATTTCTGCTCTTTGGAACAAACTGGGCTTTCATAGCTCACTGGTTCCGCTGCTCTCAGGATGATGGTTCTACCTCCTCCTCTTTTCTTCTTTCTTTCACAGAAGAATGAATAAACACGGCTGATTCTGACCACTTTCTTCTCTAAAAAGGGCTTTCACTGCCTGGGTGGGGCGCTGTCATAATTTACACCCACATCTGCTGCTGCACCACAATGAGCTCCCACAGCGTGTGAGCGTTTGCCCAGAGGTCCGGATCCAAAGTGATCACGCAGGTAAAGGAAGGCTGATATACCTTAAATACTCCTTCATACCTTCGCCTCTATAAGCGTCCTTTAGGATGAAGAGCGCAGCCAGAGCTGCACACAGAGGCACATTCAGTCATGAAGCATACGTTTCCACACCCTGAGCTGCAGGAAAACATCTATAGCTTACAGACGCATATGCATAAACACGACTGTACAAAGCACACATAGACCCAGACACACTGTGAGCTTTCAGTCCTAAAGCCGGCCACTGAGGCGTCCGCAGCATAGCAAGCTATTCATAAAAGGTAAAAATGTCTCAAGCTTCTGCCTCCAAAATACACATGGGAGACAAGAAGGGCCAAGCTTGGATTCTCTGACTGGAAATGGGGCCAAAGAAAGCTGATAAAAAAACCAGACCTCAGCATCTGTTTACAAACTACCTAAATTATAAAGTTTATCATCAAACCTGAGCTTCTAAAAATACTTAGAGGTGAGAAAAAAACAACTTTAATGTTCTACTGAAATAGTTCTCAGATCTGCCCAAATGATCTGCTGGAATGGAAGAAAATAAGCTTTTATGTTTAAACTGATAAGGATTTAGGGGACCAAATGGGTTTAATATCTGAAAAATTCTTTAAAGACGACTAGTGGAGTATGAATGAACTGCTTTAAATATTTATCATTGCAGGATGAAATAATTTATAATCTATAATCTATAAGGAGGCAACAGGTCGTCAGAGATGTGCATTAATTCAAAATGAAAAATAATAAAATACAACATTTTTTTATCATTTCTGTGGGTCTGAAAATATAAGAAACAACTATAGAGCAGATATATGCTGATGATTAATGTAATTATTAAAACCTAAATAATCTGGATATATGTAAATTAAATCCCTCCTCCTTCAACTACCAGAGGCAGAGATGGATGGACTGGTGAACAGGCTGAAATGGTAACATCCCACCAACTATTCAGGGTCCAGTTGGCAGAACCCAGAATAAACATTTCTATTTACATTAAGAAAATATTTTTTTCTGTAGAATAACAAACATGAGGTTCAGAGAATAATCATCAGAAGAAGAAACAAAAAGATTTTTGCACCTTTTCTACTCCAAGATCATGTCTGTGAGGAGTAAAGGTGTAAAGTTAGCCTATCCATACAAAAATACTGCATAATAATAATAAAGAAAAAAAGTAACTAAAGTAAAAAGCAGAAAAAGAGTTAAAACTATTTGCATGTGAGATATTTAAGCAAAATGTCTGCAGCTTTCAGTGGACAAACACCTGTCAGCAGCAACAGGCTGCAGATTCACTCTGTGAGCAGGAAACCCGATTAAACTTTTAGTAATAAATACAAACTTTTTATAACCATTGTTTGTTTAAAGTCTATACATAAACAATTACATCACTATAACAATTATAACAATAGCTAGATCTGACATGTTAGATTTATCCGGTAGAATAACCTTTTAGTGGATTTATTCACGGCAATTGGATCAAGTTTAATTTAGATTTATTTATTTTTCCATCAGATTTGAGCTAATTTCAGGAGTTCTGTGCAGTAATGAGCTCTGGAACCGAACAGCAGTCACCCTGGGAGGATTTGGGAATTTGACCTATTGGCGCACAAAGCATAAACTTCACGATTTAAAACTGCCGGACTATGCGCTGCAAATACCAAAGAGGTTTATGTGTTTGGATACTGTGGGGCCCAGCGTAGCGGGGGATTGTTTACCGCATTCTTTAGGGAGTCTGCGGGGCAGCATGTCAGGTGCGCCAGGATCCGATCATGGATGAACTGCAGATTCATTACGCGCGCAGCTAATCCAGTCAGATATGACAGGAATGGAGTTTGAACGATAGGGAACATAGATGTAACTGAGGAAATTCCTCAAGAGCGCGACTAATCTCCTGTGAATGTTGGCTTTCTGTCTTACCTGCCCGAGCCACGGTGGTTTGGCACAGGCTGAGCGCCACAGCCAGCAAGGCGAAGGATGGGAAGCTCATGCGCCACGGTCTCCGCTTCTTCCGGAAGGGACAGACTGGAATATCCATTGCGCTGCAGAGGTTTGCCGGCCTGGCTGAGCTGTAGACGCAGGATAAGGTGGAAGTTATCCTCTCACAGAAAGCCAGCCGTGGAGAAGGAGCCGGACCGAAGCTCCTGCGAGGCTGCAGACAAAAAGGCACGCCTCTGGAGACGTCCTCACCTTTCTCCTGGAGACTTTCCTTGATGAGTTACAGACGTTTGGTTTAATACATAAATAAAACCTAAACACCTGACGGGGTATGGGGGTTAATAAATATAATTGTAAAGTTTTAACCCCTTGGTGCTAAAACCCCATTGAGTCAGATTGGGTATAGTACCCAAAGTGGAGAGAGCAGCAGAGAGAGACCTGGAATCACTCTCTCTCTCCCCCTTCTCTCTCCTCGCCCCTTCTTTACTTTCTCACACAGAGAAAAGGCGTGTGTGTGTGTGTGTTTTAGTGGAGTGGAGGAGAGAGAATGGCACGGAGGGGAAGGTTAGAGAGGGCGTGCGTAATTGCGCGCTGGGTGCATGGAGATATACAAGGAAAATGAGGTCTTAATGAGACGTACAACTGTTTCAGGCGAATGAAATAACTGTTCTTTCTTTCTGTGGTTTTGTAGTTTGTTGATGACTAAAAGTTAAAGTAGACAAAAATCACAGCTGTTTATTTTTCCAGTTCTGTTGAAAATCATGATTCATAGAAAATCTGTTTATTGTCATCATCATCAACCTCTCTAACTTGGTTTTCTTTTATTTAACCTGATAAGAACAGGTCAGGTAAACGGTGGCAGCGGTTAGAGCGACATGTGGAGCTGAGCTGAGTGAGCGTTAAACCAGCCAATCAGAGTCCTGTCCGCACAACTAGCCACGCCCCCTTCAGCAGGTCCACCAGTTCCTTATTTGACATTTAGACACTAGATTAAATCTGATTAACCGATTAAACAAGAGGAGATTAATGAATAAAAATTATATATATACCTCTTATGCTTGGATCTAATTAATTTTGTGAAAAAAAAACGTATTTCAGATTCTAGAAGAAGATCTTAGTAACAGAAAATATAAAAAAAAAGATTTGCCAATTAACTTTTAGTTCTTATTGCTAATATTCTTAATTATTATTATCATTATTGATAAGGAAGTTGTCTTGTGAATTTAGCACTTTTGTAATAAATTCAAATAAAGCATTAATAGTTATAATTAGATAGAAGGTTTGTTTTCCAATTAAGTAAAAATTGACAGTGACTTTTAGCTTCATTAATGGGTTTCCATCACTGATGCTTCAATGGAGCCTTGTCTGCTGTTACCTAAACATTGATGCTGATCATTTAACACACACCTTCTCTGATTGGAAACCAAATAATAGATAATCAGGAAAGATAAGTTTCCATTCCTCAGTAAAGTTTGCTTGATTAGTTAAATTGTGACCCATTTTCAACCAGCCTTCTTTGTCAAATCTCTAAACCAGATAGAAAAATAACTTCTGACAGGAAATGACCCAGGGACTAATCCTGGTAAGTAATAGCAACTAATACTTTGCTTCAAGGGGGATCTCTGTGTCACTATCTGTTGAAGCAGACTAATTATTCTTTACCAAAAAAAAAAAACCAAAAAACAAATCCTTAAAAAGCCTTTTTTAGAATATTAATGTTTTTTTAAAGACTTATCTATACAATACTCTATCAGCATATGATAAAACCTTTTTTCCATTTCATGTCGACAGTAACCCCCCTGCTGGCCTCTGTGTAAAAATATGTAAACCAGTCATCATATATGGGGACAAATTAAAAGATAAATGCAGACAAATAACCAGCTGTCAAGTACTTGATTGCTTCATCTATCAGACCATAAACGTTAATCTAAAGAAACATTCCTTTCATAATTTCAAAGTGGCGTTTATATCCATACCTGCTGTAAACACTTAAAAGAAGCGTGTATGTTCAAAGTGGCTCTGCGTGCCCTGATGTCTGCCTTTAAACGTTTCTGCCTGCACAAAGCCCATGGTTAGTCACTTTCTTTGAGTGCAGGCTTCACATCCACAGAGCCCTAATTAACCATAATTATGCCCTGATCCTCCGTACCACTCACTCTTTCTCGCCACCTTCTCATTTCTTCCCCTGTTTGTGTTTTATTTTCTGATGGGCGTGTTTGCAAGCTGTGGTACTTTCCAAGATAACTATCGACTATAATTCAGTCTGGGGGCTTAGCAACCATAAGACAAGAAAAGAACCAGCAGTGTTGGACATAACAGTAAAAGAGAAGGGGAGCAAACAGAACCAGAAATTCTTCCCTGCAGCTTTAATGAGGTTAAATTATGGAAATAAATTAAAATAAAATCCCTCTATGCTCACTTAACACCTGAATGAGTGCTTCTCTATTTCCTGAGATGATGATTCATAGATTTATAGCAATGTTTGATGTAGTTATTTGGTCAAAGACGGCTGCTTCTCCTGGTTCTGGTTCTGCTGGAGGTCTCCTCCTGTTGAAAGGAAGCTGTCATCGCCTCCTGCAGCACAAGACGCTGAGCTCAATTATAGGGGAAATCTGGAAACGTCCCAATCCTCCATTTTTCATTCGTCTGGTTTCTAATGAAACAAAGAAATTCTGGACTAAATTAAACAGTATTCTAAAATAAATTTCTGTTTCAAATCAAATATTTGTTAAACTAACGAAACGGTTTCTACAAATATAAATTACACCCACAGCAAGTGTGTTTCCCCTTTTTGTGTAGTTTTAAAGTTTTTCTTTTACATAGAAAGTGCTTCCAAATCTGTTTTCAGTCTAAGTTTATGTGCATGAAATCAGAAAGCTTAGAGCTTCTCCCTCTGTGTGGCAGCTTTGTTATTCAACCTCTCTGGACACACTGGACTGAGTGTTTCCTTTTGGGGACAGTCTGTTTGGTTCTAGACTCAATTTGCTCTGAAAGAAGACACCACAAGCTGTAAAGAGAGACACCCCAGGAGACATCTGAGGCTTATGTGTGTTCTGGATTCCACATGTAAAGTATGTGTGCAGTAAGTTCAGCATCAAAGCTCTGTTGCTTTGTTTAGCTGCTGTCGGACCAAGAACAGTTTATTGATGAGACAGCGAAGAGTCAATAATCACTGGAGATTAGATTTCCTCCTTTAATTCTGGACAGTCTCCATCTGAGGAGCTGCAACCAATAAAGGCGCCATATAGACCTTAGGCTGAAATGCTGCTTCCAGATAATTTGAGTTTCAGAGTTGCTCAGATCAAAAAGCTATGGAGCAATTAGGATGGAAATAGTATAATATTACCCTAATGCTTTGATGCCAACTTCCATATGTGAAAAGGATTAAAGCAGATTAAAAATCGAATAATGTTGAATAAAATGTATAAATTGCAGAAAGTGTAATTTTAGATTTAGCCTTTTTTTATTCTGACAAAACTTAAGGGAAAAACGGTTTTAGTTCAAATAAGCTCAGTTAATTTGTGTGATGCTACGTCCATAAGTGAAGAGGAACGCATCTCTTTTAACAGGAAGTAATGTCCTGCAGAAGCAGATTGGATTGGATTTAAAGACGACAGAAAGGAGTAACAGAAAACTTCATCAAAACTCTCCATTCAACCCAAATATGTAAACTAATGACACAAAGCTGCTGCTTTAACATCAGTAGTGATGAAAATAAGTCAGACATTATCTGTTATCAGATACCAGCAAGAAAGAATTAAAGAAATATTGCGTTTTCAAACAGTATTAATATCTGTAAATCAAATAGTCAGGAATAAACGTTCATTTTTAATCTTTATGCGTTATTCTTTTAATCTTTAATCCAAAACAAGACTAAATGTAAAACATTTGATTTATTAGCAACACCACAATCAGTATAAGCAGATGATAGTGTTTCCTTTTTGCTTGGATCACCTCTGTGTAGTAGAAGGAAACTTTATTTAAACTATAGATCTGATTCTTTATATGACAAGTAGACAAAAGAAATGACCTAAACTGATGTTAGAAAGACTTAATATAACTTATATGTACATGTTAAATAGTTTTGTTTTCTCATTAGAATAAAATGAAATTAATTGTTCTTTTAATTATTTGGATTATAAACCAAGAATCTGGTTAATCTGAGTCCAGATTGGGTTTAAAGGCGCCAAATAATCATGGATGGTTCTGGACAGAGGCCAGTGGGATCCGGTGACTCTGTAGAACTGGGCCTGGTTCCTCTTATGCCCTCTATACCATGATGATATATTCTGGCACAGAAACTTTAACAGTTATTATTTTTATGTCATTTTTTTCATCTTTATTGTTGTATTACAACAATGACTTAAAAATGAAGTCGTTTCTCTTTAAGCTTCAGTTGTTATCTGTCAGGATCACAGTTTATCTCTGCTAAATCTGGATGTGCTATATCTAATAGGGTCTACACCCATCCAAATAACACTTTGGTTCTATATCACCTTGGGTATATAAAACAATAAACTTGCCAAGTTTTTACAAAATTTTGCTCTGTGCCCCATGAAAAACTGCAAATAATGAACTACTTTAAACTTAAGTATTTTTTTCTTATTTTACATCGGTTTTTAGAGTGTAGGTGGTAACAGCATCTTTTTAAAAAGTCTCTTAGGTGATAATTTAATGTGAATATTAAATATAACATTTTAATTCTGCGGTTTTATGACTGTCAAAGGCAACAGATTCAAACAATCAGCCTTTAAAGCTTATTTGGTTCTTATTTGGTCTGTTTCCTCCATTATATCCTCTCCTCCTCTCAAGCAGGACTTCCTTTTTAGCATTTTCATTAAACTGCCATATACCAATATTATAGAGCTATGATTAAAGTTTACCTCCACTGAAGCCTGACTTCATCTTCTGAAAACAGATCTATGGTTCGTTTCAGAAGCTGCTAAAACCAGATTCCTACAGACAGGTGCTTTTGTTAGTTTAACCCAGAGAAAAAAAATCTGGGCAGCAGATCCAGATAATAAAATTAAGCCTCAATGTCATCTGCCTGCAAATTAATAAAGGCTTGTAATTAGCTGGGAATTATATTTAAAGGCTTGGAATAACCCAGAAACCACAGAGATTCCTTGAAGAAAAACCTGCATCATATGAAGCCTCCCATTAAACCAAATTCTCATGTCGACCAACCTGATGCTTCACAGACTGTAAAATCAAGGGGTGATTAGTGGAAACATCTGGGTCAATGGAAGCAGGAGAGTCCTGGAGGATGAGATGAGCGCCGGAGAGGAGCGTCTGCTGAGGGAGAGCGAGACATGGCATCAGCTAGGCCCGGTGGACCCAGAGCTTTGTGGGCAGCTCTCTCTCTGTGCTATTTCCAAAAGAAGAACCTTATAATTACAATAAAGCAACCATATTATACAGCTGACTTCCTTGAAAAGTCTGTATTTTACAGGGCAGGGCCACAAACGCACACACACCCTGCTAGCCACA